CGCCATCCAACACAGCAAACACAGGACAACGTCAAGCCAAGAGTGATCATGGTGAGATTTCTCAGTCTTCAGGACAGAGAGAAAGTCCTTCGACTGGCCAGAGAAAAGCAGCAACTTGTCTACAATGGTGAGCGGATTCATATATTTCCCGACTTCAGTGCGGCTGTGATCAACAAACGGCGTGAATTCGATGACATTAAAAAACAGCTTAAGCAACGTAAACTGGACTATCACATGACTTTCCCTGCTATACTTGTAGTCGATATCAACGGGAAACCTGTGCAGTTTAAAACACCCAACGCTGCGCTTCAGTTTCTGCAGGAAATTGGAAATGCTGACTGACTCAACTTTGAGTTTAGCCTATTGTATATGAGTTCAGAAGATGCTGCAATTGTTTCATACCTTTTTTCCCCTTCTTCTGTTTCTTTTCTTTTTCTTTTTTCTTTTTTTTTTTTTTTTTTTTTTTTCCTTTGAAGGCAATGAATGATATGGAAAACTGAATACTCGTGAAAGACACTCCTTAATTGTCCCTTTGCTCAAAACTGAGATACTTTGCATTTGGTATGATAAGCAGCCCTCTGTTGACATATAGGCCTATTATTGGATTGCACATTTATGTGCTGTTTTGGTGCGCCCTACAACGGGCCTTTCTCTGTTTTAGTTATGATAGATGCTGCCTTTTGTGGACTTAATGGGAAATTAAGAAGTAAAAGAATAATCATAATATTTTGTGTATGCTGGCAGATAGTCTACTTTCTTTTTCGGTCAAGGCTATATATGTGTGTTTGTGTGTGTGTGGTGAGATGTGTGTGTATGTGTGTGTTGCTCTTCTATCCTACGCTGTGTCCTGCTCTCTCTTATTTGGTTCTATTTGAATATGGGTAAAGGTTTATTTATCATTCACTTAAATATCAGGAGCTTACCTCACAAAATTGATCTCCTAAGAGCTTGGCTTTCTTATAACAAACCTGCTGTCATTACTGTTTCTGAAACTTGGTTACAAAATAAAATATGTGATGCTGAAATAAGCCTAGAGGGTTACACCCTATATCGAGCAGATAGAGGCAGTCGTGGTGGAGGTGTTGCTACCTATATATCTTCTACTTTGACCTCAGAGGTTGTTAGTCCAAATGAAAGCCCATTGCACTTTGAGTGCCTCTTTGTGAGACTACGTTTTGATCATAAACAACTGATTATTGGTAATATCTACAGGCCTCCTAACTCTCCTTCCGAATCTATTAATAATATTCTTGCCACTATTAATTCACTTAATTGTTCTGATGAACTTATTGTTCTGGGTGATTTCAACCGAAACTGGCTCGACAGGTCTTCAGCTAAGGAGAAGAGTTTATTGGAAAGCCTGCATCTCACTCAGATAATACAGGAACCCACAAGAGTGGCTGGGAGTTCCAGATCTCTCTTAGACTGGATCTTGGTCACTCATCCCAACAGAATAGCTGATTCTGGTATTTTATCAGATTGCTTCAGTGACCACTCGGTTATCTTCTGTGTATGGAAAATAAGATTGCCACGATTGCCATCTAAAATAATTAAAGTAAGACAACATAAAAACTTTTCTGAAGATTCCTTTATTAATGATTTGCTAAATATCAATTGGTCTAGGTTAGAACTTATTCCTTATGTTGGGGATGCTTGGACTTTTTTTCATACTGAGGTACACAATGTGATTGACAAGCATGCACCATGGGTATCGGTGAAAGTCAAGGGTAGGCATCTACCATGGATTGATGGTGACCTGTTGCATCTTTTTAAGGAAAGGGATAAGGCCTGGAAGCGTTACCAATCAACAAAAGCTATGGTTGATGGGATCGAATATAAGAGATTACGTAATATCTGTACTGTGAAAACAAGGAATGCAAAGTCAAATTACTATAAGACAGCATTGTCTAATGACTTCACTAGTCCAAAACAATTTTGGAAAAAACTTAACAGCTTATTGAATAAACCTGCTGTGAATTCTCCTCTATCGCTTCGTGTAAATGATAAAATTAGTAGTGACCCTGCTACTGTGGCTGATGCATTTAACCAACATTTTTCCTCTGTAAGCAAATTATGCCCATCTAATCTATTCCATTCCAATCTTGTAAATTCACCAGTAGCCAATACTTCTTTTACACTAACTACAATAACTCCTACTGAAGTGCAACAGGCTATCTCTGATACTAAATCTGGTAGTGCTGGTCCTGATGGTCTGGAAATTAAGTTTATTAAGATTGCATCTCACATCCTGGCATTTCCACTATGCTATCTATTTAATTTATCCATATCCACATCTGAAGTTCCAGCCATGTGGAAGTATGCTAGAGTAACACCTATACATAAAAGTGGTGATCCACTTGACCCAAATAACTATAGACCAATTTCGATTATTAATACTGTGGCAAAAATATTTGAAAAAATTATTTTTAAGCGATTGTTTAAATATGTCAATGACTTCTCTGTCCTTTCTGAGATGCAATCAGGTTTCAGACCAAACTACTCTACCACTACTGCCCTCACAAAGTTTGTCAATGATGTTACATCCTCTTTAGACAATAACATGCCTACTGGAGCAATATTTATAGATCTCACCAAGGCTTTTGATTTGGTCAATCACTATTTACTTCTTGACAAACTGCATGGTATCGGTCTGTGTAAGCAGTCACTTTTTTGGTTTAATTCTTATCTTCATTTAAGACGTCAGTCGGTGGCTTTCAATGGCTGTCTTTCTCAGTACACAGTTATGGAAAATGGGGTTCCGCAAGGTTCATGCTTAGGCCCTCTGTTGTTCTCTATATTCATAAATGACCTTCCAAAAGTATGCTCAAACTGTAATATCCTGCTGTATGCTGACGATACAGTTATTTACTCTGCTAAACCTGACATTAGTTTGATTGAGTCTTCATTGCAATCAGACTTTGATGATATTCAGAAGTGGTTTACAGCGAATGGGCTCATACTTAATAAGACTAAGTCTTACAGTATGCTTTTTGACAACAGGACAACCCGTTTTAAGCAAGATCATACTCTGTCAATAAGGTTTCTGGATGATACTCTTATGGAGAATGTGGAAGAATTTAAATATTTGGGCCTACTGCTTGACTCCAATCTTTCCTTCAAGTCACATATTGACTCCGTTGTCAAGAAAATTAATTTCAATCTTAGACTCTTATATTGCTCTATAAATTGTTTCACTCAACAGATCAGACTACGAATTGTAACACAGCTTTTATTTCCAATCCTTGATTACGCTGACATTGTGTATATGAATACAACAGAATCACACCTTAAATCTCTAAATGTTGTTTTCAACAGTCTCTGTCGATTTGTGTTGAGATGCCCATACCTTACCCACCATTGTCACATGTATCAGCAACTTAACCTCTTATCACCTAAGACTAGACGGCAGTTACACTGGTTTCAGTTTATTTATAAATGTTTTTTCTTTAATTATCCATCCTATTTACAAAACCATTTGAATCCATATAGGTCTACTTATGGACTTAGACATCTTGATCATTTGTTCTTTTCTGTTCCAAGAATATCTAAAGAAATAGGAAGACGTGCCTTCAGATTTAAAGCCCCTTCTGACTGGAATAGCTTACCCAGATCACTGAGATCAATTTCATCTTTTCCTCACTTTAAATCATCCTTATTAAGTTTTCTGCATTCAAGAGACCAGTGCACCTGCTTTCCTGGCCGTGGTCCTTAAAACAAAACAAAACAAAAAGTTATGTACCTGCTGCTGTACCTATATTCATGTGTGCGGTTGTGCATATATACATGCTTATTTTTCCTTCTGATCTTTTTTATTTATTTAACTGATTTTCCAATTGTGGGTTTTCTCCTGAGTACTTTACTTGTATTTTATTCTTATTTTATTTCTGCTTAGTGTTCTATATATATAGATACATATATTTTCTATTTGTTTGTTTACCTGCATAAATATATTTGTGTAGAGATGTTGGACTGTTTAGCTTGTAGTGATGAAGAGCTTTGGTATGGATGTGTGACTGTGTGTATTGTTTGTCTCTGTTGTTCTTGGGACCCCCTCGAAAACGAGATGGATCATCTCAAGGGGCTATCCCTTAATAAAAGAAAAGAATTGAATTTCTGTATTACATTATTCTGTAAGTTTAGTTCATTTGGTGCATTGGGTGAATTTAATCAGTGGAAAAAAACAGGATCTAGAAGAATTTTAGTAAATTAACCTTAAATTCAACAGATCTAGTTCCACAGTTGCTTAAAATGGATTGAATTAAATCATAACCATTCAATCATTTCATATGTTCTCTAACAGTTGATTTTAAGAGTGAAGCTGTGGATACCTGAGCTCAGGGATGGAAAACACCTGAAATATTTATTTGGCCAGGAAGCAAGACTGATACTGTCACTTTAAGGCAATAGTTACTAAATAACAGCAAACCACCACACACGCGCGCAAGCGCGCACACAAACATCTAACACAGTGATATTGCCTATAACCTGTTGTCTATGCTCTGTCTATGCATTTTAAACTACTTGTCTTGTAGCTGAAACTCTCTCCATTTTTATCTGAGGGGTTGTCTCCCTTCCATTTTTACTCTACTGAAGTGTAACTAATAGATTATAAAGTGTGGAAAGAGGGGGAAAGAAGCAGGAAAGGCAGGAGTGGTGATGTGGGATTGATAGTCGCGCGCACCCAGAACACCTGTTTCACAGCGGAGCCACACCTTAGAGGAGAATGAAAATGGCGTTGAGTCACCACCGAAACTCAGGTCAAGGACCAATGACCGAAAACCCCGCAGCAATCCGGAAATCAGGATACTGATTACACAATACGACCTGATGTTTTTCAAGTTTTTTTTTTTTTAACTAAACTTTCCGAAATATAAAAAAGTAGTTAAAATGAGCGCTTTGGCACTACCTGCGTCAAAGCGTGTCATCACCCGGACAGGTGGTTTATGTGTCAGAAAATACCAATAGAACTAAAATCTATTCAAATGGAAATAGTTTCTTACCGTGTTGGGTGAGTATCGACGCCGCAACGCAGAGCAGTCCGATCATTTTTACGCACACACTTCGGGCGTAAAACCTCGCCATTATGGTCCTCTTAAAAGCGCACAGTCTCTCCAGAACAATTTAAAAACAGATGAAACACCTTTAGAAAATATGTAATGTTGATCAGAAAGTCTGTGTCACTGAAGGCAAATGAAAAAAAAAAACAACTTTTAATTAATGTCAGTCGAGTGACGAGCCTCCGTTTACTTTTGGTCTAAATGAATTTTTAAAATCCGTGTGAGTTCGTCACAGGTGAATATTTCCCCTCGCAGCAGCAGCTGGTGCTCAGGATGTAATGAGGTGCTTCACCGCGTCTCTGCTTCGCAACTGGTCTCTGAGAGCGCACTAGTGTGTGTGAGTGTGTATGTGGGAATGACTGGGTGATGTCATCAGAGAGGCGTCACAGACAGCCGTCCCTGAAAAAAAAAAACAATTAGGTCTTAGTGACCGCAGGATCAAATGCAGGAAGAGGGAAGCACACGGGAACTTGTTGAAATTGCCTCAAGCATTCTTTTTACATATACCTCAACTTGGATGACAGCTTTCACTTGGGATGGCACCTAAACTGATCAGCAGGTGTTCTGCTAAGTGGTTTTGCATTTATTTGTTCGGGAAAATGTAGTTTATATTGGCTTCATGGGGGATTTATAATCTATTTCGCACACATAATAAAAAATCTTAAACCGATTTAAACATTTTCATGGATGCATTTTTTTTATAAAGATGCGTTTTTCTATTGATTCTAAACGCTCACTTCAAACTATCCCATGTAAATGTCATCACACCCAGAAAACACATCCACCCCAGAAATGACTTTGTCTTCTATTAAAGTCTTTCATGGACGAACGATGAAACAGGGGATTATTGCGCCCCCTGCTGCTTGCTTCTTCAAAAAGGCACACAATTGCCCCTCTGATATAAATTATGCCCCTCAAAATCTATACACACCCATAAAGAAATCTGGGAAGCAACACAAAGTCAGATCAATCAGTTACAAAAAAAGAAAAAAAAAAGGTTCTTGCATCTATTTACTGACTCCACAAAATGAAACTAACTGATTCATACAACATTCATATAACAATGTATATTGCCATAGACTTTAACTTCTGCCTGGGTCAATGGTAGATCTCCGTTAACCATTTATTTCAAACGATATTCTATCAGAAATGTAATTCAAAGCTGAAACTCATCTGAAGTTTTTTTTTTTTTTCCAGATAATTTTTTCATGAGTATAGCTTGCAGCAAATAAGAAGAGTTGGTGGAAATTATACATTGAAGCAACTTGATATTGGGGTAATCAGCCTGTGTTTCAGGTCAGGCTTCTTGACTGCTTCTTTGTACACGACCCCTTTTAAGATTTAAAACAGTCAATAAGTTATCCAAACTCATCCAAACAGAGCCATGGGGATCAATCATCAGAGGCAGCACAACCCCCTGGATTCTGAGAGTATTAGTGGCTTTCATTTGTGCACCTTTAACAGTACTAAGTTCTCCTCTCTACGGAGATTCCAGTTCCAGTCAGTTCCTGTTCCTAGTAATACTAGTTTACTTTTACATAAATTCTTTGAATGCTTACTTCATGCATCGGCTGAATTATAAGGTCTCTTTTAGCCAGTTTTAATCTAAAGCAAATAAAGAGAGCTAATAGAGCTAGTGACAGTAAATGCTGAACCAATATTGTTTCTCTGTCTTGGAGAGAAACAGGGCTAAGCACTGAAAAACATGGTCAACACTTTAATTGAAGCTGTTGACAGCAGGAGTCCAGCTGATGCCTTCCTCCAGGATGGTGTCACAGCTAAACAGAGCGCCACTGTAGTCACATTACATTAAGTTTCTGATGAGAAAAAGTAGGTGGAACAAACATTTATTGGATGAAAAAACAAAAAATGTAGATCAGAAGAACAGAAATAGAATGAAGCAAAATGCTGAAAAGTGGTCCCTATTTCCTCCGGCATCACAAGCCTATATCAGCATTACTATAGAGATAGCTCAGGATAACCTAAGTCACTCTAACAATAAGCTTTATCAAAAAGGGAAGTTTTAAGACTAGTCTTAAAGTAGAGGCTGTGCAGGAGATGAGAGAGGCTGGACTACTTTCTACTGCGGAGAAAATCTTTGTGGATAAGCAGAGGGTTGGGATGGGTCTGCTTGTCTCTCCCCAGCTCAGCCATTTTGTACTGAAATTCACCCCGATGAATGAGAGGGTCACATTCCTGCGCCTTGGGGAAGGGAGGATTCCATCATTCTGCCTATGGGCTTCAACACCCATTTGGGGAACAACACTGACACCTCGAGGGGTCATGGAAGTCATGGATTGTTTATAATGAGCAGCATGTTCAAGCATTAGGACTAGTATTGTGCCAATACCTTTTTTTGGCCCCAATACCGATACCTGATACGTGGCTTTGCACTATTGGCCAATACTGATACCATACCAATACTATCTGTTTTAAATTGATGTGTGTGTGTGTGTGTGTGTGTGTGTGTGTGTGTGTGTGTGTGTGTGTGTGTGTGTGTGTGTGTGTGTGTGTGTGTGTGTGTGTGTGTGTGTGTGTGTGTGTGTGTGTGTGTGTGTGTGTGTGTGTGTGAACAAATGCATACTATTTGGATGTAAAATAATTGCCATCATGGCTTTTTCAAGCTGCAGCCTACCTTTGTTAAGCAGGAAAAAGACTTATACAAAGTGAATCCAGTAGAACTTTTTATTTCCTAATTGACATGGGTGACAATAGTTGAATAAACTTTTGGCTCTCAGAATGGTATCGCTACCCTATTTGTCGGTACTCACCGATACCGATACCACCGTTTTAGTGCAATATTGGGGCCCCGCCCAATACTGGTATCCGGCAGGTCCTAATTGCAACACTAATTAGGACATCTATCGGTGGATTTGGCACCAGGACACTCTAAGCCAGCGATTGATTATCAATTTTCTAGTTGTATCCTCTGACCTTGGAATTGACAGCTCAATATAACTATAGCTCTGTGTGAGTTGGGCAACTGTATTTAAAAATTAATCTTGGACTGCTGTTATTCTCATCTGTTTATGTGAAGAAATACACTGCTCTTGTTTTACGAAAGGTCGGTCTATACAGCAGTAGACTTTTTTTCCATATTAAGTAAACATCTCTTAAGTTCCTTAATATTATGGTTATAAGTATGCAGATCTGGATAAAATGAGGGAGCTAACGATTACTTTAGTGGTAAGAATCACAACTAGCTAGCTTTAACATCTTAAACAACCTAAAAATAGACATAAACCTACATTCTATTATATAAGCTTTTTCTAAGTTAAGATTATCATACACATGCAGCCCATAATAAAATGTGTGCCTTAGGATTACCCAAACCAACATCAACATATTTAGATGTTTGGATTATTCCCAAAATCTAAAAGTTTATTTTTAAATTAGCCATTGTATAGCATTTTTAATAAATTATCAATAATATAGAACAGATTTTATGCCTGATATATGCTCTACAATATTCATTTTTATGTGGTGTTGCATGACAGAAGCATTATCTGGTTTAGGTCTAATCCTTATACCCATGTGTTTTACAGCCAATGTAATTACATCTCTGCAAGTCCCCTTTTTTAAAGAGCTCTGAAAGCCTTTCTCTGTTCTGCTCTTATTTCCCACTTCCTCTGCAGCTTGTGTCTAGAGAGTGTTCCTGATGTGCAAATTTGAAAGTCTCAGATAATAATCAGAGGTCACCTTATGTTCTGCTCACCCGTACACCAAACTTTGAGTTGATATTTTCTACTTCTATAGATTCATACGCCTGTGAAAAAGGAGCATAATTTGAGTTTGCTCGCCTCTCCTAACCCACCCATAGATTATGCAGCAACTGTCATTCAGACAAACAGTTGTGTGGTTTAATTGGCAAAGACATTTTGCTGTGAGAATGATAAAACTTGCAGCATCCTTCTGGCAATGCAGCTTGTAAAGACCCCCCCATCACTGTCAGCACCACCACCCTCAGCCCCAATTGCATTGCTGCTAATGCTAAATTGTATGTATTCATGGTAGAATAAGGAGCTTTAAAGACTGTGGCCACGAAATGAAGGATTTTATTTCTGTTCCTCCACACATTCACCCATTTTCATACCCATACTAAATTGACCTTCACACTTTCTATTTTCCCACCACCAATTTTACTGTATGCCATGCACCCCCCCACTGTCTCTTCATCTGTACTTCCTTCCTTCCTCTCCTTTAACCCGTGTCATTCAATTTCCTCCGTCCACTCGTCCTTCAATTCCTCCTGCTGTTCACACCGTCCTCCATCGCTATGCTCTCCGGGGGTCTGTGGCAGCGATAATGAGCCGCATAGTTAACAGATATTAGCTCATTGGTGGTGGATTCATTAGACTGAACCAAGGCTGATGGTGATTATTTACTCATATAGGAGGAGAAGGAGACGGGGGCACTGGATCAGTTCCTTGCTATGACTCCTTTGAAGTTAAACTGGTCCCTTCATAAACCCTTTCACACTTCTCCTCTCCCCTCTGTTTCTCATTTTGCATCAGTACTCCTAGTGAGTTACTCCTTCCTCCCATTCTTCCTTTTTTTGCCTCTTTTTCTGTCATTACTCACCCACAGTACATATCTACTTTCCTTCCTTTTCAATCTCTCCATACAGCCCCACACCCCCAGTGGTAATTATGAAAAAATCTGTAATAGTGCTCTGAGGAGCTGATAATACCTTTAGCTTAATTGAAGACAATTACAGGATGTAAAGACATGTTGCCCAGGGGTTGCTGTGTACCCGTACCAACCTTAACTCTCTATGTCTTTCAGTTTTCATCTTTCAGCCTCTCACTTTCTGTTGCACCTCTCTATTTAACACGTGCCTTTTGGCATTCTTTAATCTCACTGATAGGGTCAAATGTTATTTTTGGAGATTTGAGGCTTCAAAGTTTTGAAAAAATAGAAAAGGAATACATATTTATTTTAAAGACCTTAACATTTCACACGACCAAAAATACACACGTGTGGGTTTTATTTTCAGCATGAAATAAATATAGAACATTCAACTTTACTAATTTTTAAAAACAGCAATTTGGTGTCCAGGTTTAGACTTAGATGTTCTTTTAAGCACATAGGGTCAAAATTAAGTATTTTTACACCTTTATTAAATGTAATTAAATATTCTTAGGGTAATTGCTGAGAAACCAATTTAATACATTTCAGTTTATTTATATAGTGCCAATTCACCTTATAGGGCAGTTTACAGAGACAATTTAATCAGAACATACAGTCTTATGGCTTTAAAGTTTTCTATTATTAAATTTAATTAAATATTCTTAGGGGAATTGCTAGGAAACCAATTTAATTCATTTCAGTTTATTTATATAGTGCCAATTCACCTTTTAGGCACTTTAAAGAGACAATTAGAACATACAGTCTTATGGCTTTAAAGTTTTCTATCTAATAAAAAACCGGCTGATTGAGTCATTGACTCGACAGCAATCCCTCACATTCACCTTTATTGTTGCCAGTCAGTTCTCTGGAATGTATATGATTGCATGTCTAACTCCAAGTTTAATTAGAGATTTTAGATGATCCAAAAGTTGGTTGGATTCCAGACACTAACCATGCTGGGACTATTGCCATGTTGGATTACCTACTTTCATCAAAAAGGTAAACTATGTAATTGTTTATTTTAGGTGATGTTGAAGAGCATGAGAAAACTCTCCCTATTTTCTATGCGTATCATTTGTGTAATGTACCAGGGTGACAAACTCATGATGTTATCACTACCTATCACGTGTTTTGTGTTATGATTTGTTTTTGTTTCTGGTTTTCTTTTATTGCCATCATTGCCTTTTATGTATGTTCTACAAATTTTGCTATGTTTAGATGTTTAGTTAATTTCTATGTTTTCATAATTTTTCTTAAGTTTACTGTCTTGTACGTTCTTGGACCGAAGGCTACCTGACAATCAGACCACAGTTTGTGAGACTGAAGGGTCAGTTGTCTACTAAATAGTCAGCACTACAGGGGGGAGCAACACAGGGGACAGTACTAGCACATTTCCTTTTTACTCTGTACACCTCTGACTTCCAGTACCACACAGAGTCCTTTCACCTGCATTGGGTGCATCAAAGATGGACAAGAAGCTGTCAAGTTGAGTGGAGGTTTGTAGAGGACACAAATGGAGAGAAGGAGGCAGAGATGGTTTCTTCCAGATTTAATGATGAGGGTGGTGGCAACAGAAGCATTAATCAAGAAATAACGACCAGGGAACACATGAACCAGAACTTAAGGTAACACAAAACTTCAGGAGGGAATGAGGAGAATCCAGCATCAGAGAAAATGTCTTAAATAAGTTCAACAAGCTAATAAGTCTGGCTCTGTTGTAGGAACTCCTCCTGAATGTATTTAGATAATTTCAAAAATAATAATTCTTCATATAGTGAAGAACATTATGGACAACATCTTCTTCAGAAGATTCTAAAACAACATCAGAGTGTCTTCAGTCAGAGGCTTCTCCAGATATGGTGCAAGACAGACCACTACAGAAGATCCTTCCTGCCAGCAGTTATCAACACCCATAAGAACCCTATGAAAAAATGCTCTTGAATTACTGAAAGGTTTCATTTCCGTTTGGGATTCATAAAGTAATTATTAATTGAATTGAATTAGAATTTTCATCCAAGCAACATTATTTAATCCCCTGATCTTTAATGTTACTTACCACACTCTTCCATTATAATGAATTCTTTGTATGTGGCTTGTTCGCTCTGTTTCAGACCTGTGTGCTTTCTACTTTTATCATCAAAGGCCTGATCATAATTATTCTGAGGACCTGTCTGCATTTAGGTTTGGCTCACAGTCTGCATAATATAACACACTGCTGACTCAGTATTCTTAAGAGTCAAGCATTACACTAGAAACGTGTGGTCTTTGCTGATTTGTAGGGTAATAATACTTGAGCCAGTCAATTTCTAAGGTCAAAACCACCTTGACTCCATCAAACTTATTCAAACATCCTTTTTGGCAAATGTCCCAATTTTGTCCCAAAGCCGGTTGTGTTTTAACAACATGCTGCTTCAATCATATAGTTTCCTGGATTGTTAAAGATAGACACAACCAGGAGACGTTAATCCCAAATCCATATCAGTTAAACCAAAATGGTTTTGGAAGGGATAAGTCAGTCCAACTTTAACTTCTAAAATAGCTCCAGACTCACATCCTCTTGGGCATTTTTAGATTATTCTTCAAAGTTGTGTCTCCAACAGGAAACCAACTAATTAGAATGTTGGTCAATCTTTCTGATAAGAAGAGTGGTCCAGACATATGCAGTTTGATAATCACTCTTATCCAGCTCAGATTTAGCAAGGAGACAATAAGTCATGCTTCCTTCTGTCTGCAGTGAAGATGGAAACATCTTTAAAAAGTCGCTTTTGTGCAGTTAAAAAGTCTAAACGATTGCTTAGTGCTCTTTTTAGCATGAAATTCTGAGGTGATCAAATAAGGTTTTAATGATTTTAATCATAATCAATTGGAACTTTTATCTTAGCAATCAATAAAACCAGCAATGTTTTCATCCCTTTAGTTGTCAGATATGCAGCCAGTTTTGCATGAATGTGCTGATAATGTTTATACAAATCTGAGCTTGTGCAGATCAGAGAAAAATTACAGCTGTAAATTAAACTTTTTATTTAATCATTTTATTTACAAAGAGCACATTGCTCTGTTAGTTTTTTCTTTGTTCAAGTTTATCGCTGTGGCAGACTGGATTTGCCCCGCAGGCCTTGAGTTTGATACATATGATATGCATTAAAAGCTAAAAATGTAACTTTTGAGCAAATTATATATAACTTTTGTTATATATACATGCAAAGGTTATGTCTTTTGTTATGTAAACTCATACCGACACAATATTTAACAGATGGGCCGACTCCAACAGAAAACTTTGATACCATTGTAAATTTCCAACAGTCGTCATTGCACTACCATCTGTATGCTATCTTTCACCACACTGCCATCTGCACATAGCTAAGTTAATTGCACTACCATCTGCAGATATATAGTTCTCTAATTTTTCTAATTTTATTAATTTTGGGGCTAAAATACTGTATACTGCATGCATCAGTTGTTGCCTTTTGGATTTTTGCAGTCAGTGCATTGCTTCAGATGTCTAGGATGAATAAAGAACCACCAAAGGGAATGGATACTAAAACATTAATGCTACTATCCACACTCAGGAAAGCTTCATTTCCTTACTTGCTCCTAAATTTGCTCATTCTAAAGTTTGCCGCCACAAACCATCAAGGAGGAAAATGTTTTTATTAAGGTTCAATGATCGGATTAAAATGGTATTGCATTGTTTTGCCATTGTGGGAAAAAGTTTATTTTGGGTTAGAAAGGTGAGGAACTCAGCATCAAGAGGACTTGATGTTATTATTAAGAGCTACACTATATTGCCAAAAGTATTTGCTCACCTGCCTTGACTCACATATGAGCTTAAGTGACATCCCGTTCCTAATCCATAGGGTTCAATATGACGTCGGTCCACCCTTTGCAGCTAGAACAGCTTCAACTCTTCTGGGAAGGCTGTCCACAAGGTTTAGGAGTGTGTTTATGGGAATTTTTGACCATTCTTCCAGAAGCGCATTTGTGAGGTCGCACACTGATGTTGGACGAGAAGGCCTGGCTCTCAGTCTCCGCTCTAATTCATCCCAAAGGTGTTCTATCGGGTTGAGGTCAGGACTCTGTGCAGGCCAGTCAAGTTCATCCACACCAGACTCTGTCATCCATGTCTTTATGGACCTTGCTTTGTGCACTGGTGCACAGTCATGTTGGAAGAGGAAGGGGCCAGCTCCAAACTGTTCCCACAAAGTTGGGAGCATGGAATTGTCCAAAATGTCTTGGTATGCTGAAGCATTCAGAGTTCCTTTCACTGGAACTAAGGGGCCAAGCCCAGCTCCTGAAAAACAACCCCACACCATAATCCCCCCTCCACCAAACTTTACACTTGGCACAATGCAGTCAGACAAGTACCGTTCTCCTGGCAACCGCCAAACCCAGACCCGTCCATCAGATTGCCAGATGGAGAAGCGCGATTCGTCACTCCAGAGAACGCGTCTCCACTGCTCTAGAGTCCAGTGGCGGCGTGCTTTACACCACCGCATCCGACGCTTTGCATTGCACTTGGTGATGTATGGCTTGGATGCAGCTGCTCGACCATGGAAACCCATTCCATGAAGCTCTCTGCGCACTGTTCTTGAGCTAATCTGAAGGCCACATGAAGTTTGGAGGTCTGTAGTGATTGACTCTGCAGAAAGTTGGCGACCTCTTCGCACTATGCGCTTCAGCATCCGCTGACCCCGCTCCGTCAGTTTACGTGGCCTACCACTTCGTGGCTGAGTTGCTGTCGTTCCCAAACACTTCCATTTTCTTATAATACAGCTGACAGTTGACTGTGGAATATTTAGGAGCGAGGAAATTTCACGACTGGATTTGTTGCACAGGTGGCATCCTATCACAGTTCCACGCTGGAATTCACTGAGCTCCTGAGAGCGACCCATTCTTTCACAAATGTTTGTAAAAACAGTCTGCATGCCTAGGTGCTTGAATTTATACACCTGTGGCCATGGAAGTGATTGGAACACCTGATTCCAATAATTTGGATGGGTGAGCAAATACTTTTGGCAATATAGTGTATCTTTGTATAAACAGGTGCTGGGGCTGTTTTACTAGGAAGTGGAAGAAAATGAAAATGATTGACCCTAAAGTTTCTTCAGTTGGCTGATCAATGATTTAGCTAGTGTATTAACCTTTTCAAATATTATTCTGAGCCTGCTGACCCTCTGCTGGTTGGAAATATTTGGTCTATAAACCACAAAATTGGATTCAACTCCACTGACTGATAAAAAAGGCTAAAATAAAAGGATCTGCCAAACTCTAAAAAACATTGTCAGATGCAGCTTACTAAAAACAGACCTTATAATGCAATGATCTCAGAGTCTGCAACCAAATTCTTGGTTATTTTGCTTTAGCATGAATAAATGTCATTAAGCTCTCTATTTATGATGTTTGCATGAAGTGTATTTAACCCGGAACTTTACTTTATCAGTTGCAAACACAGAGAGACACAACTGGAATTGTCAAGCTCCTTTCCTGCTGATTATACCAGTGTTAGATGCCACATTTCCTCTGGGTCTATAAAATGCACAACTTAACTTTTTTACCACATCAGTTGAGGATCACCAATGTTGAAGCTGAACAAAATCCCTGGCTTTCTGAAGGAAAACTAAGAAAGGTCACAAGTTTTGGAGAAATAGCGGCTGCAGTGAGATTGTTTTTCTTCCAGGCTGTGATGGAGTCTGTGGTTTTATGGTATATTGCCTCTTATTTTGTATTTTATTCCTCTCATGTCATCAGCTCTCATACAGGTATGTTTCAGCAGATATTTATCCTGCAGTTGAAACTTTGTTTGCATATTGAACGGTCCCCGTTTTACCAGATATTGCTTTATCTTAGTGATAAGTCCTGAATGTGGATGAGTGTGTATCTTTGTTCCAGTGGATCAATTTTATGTTTATGAGATGAATGCTGGATAGGCTAAGCTCAAGGACAGCTTTTTTCAGTCTGTGTCATTGAGTCCAGCTTTTACAATCCTGATTGGACAGTTATCTAACATAGTCATCACACTTACAATAGAACATAATTGGAATTAAATTTTCCCAAAAAGCTATGTTACAACCACAAACATCAATTATCTCATTAGGATATCTCATAATAGATCAATACAAAGTAGAAGTGAAGTGAAAAACAATTTAAATGTTTAGTTTTTCTTATTTTGCAAATACTGCATTTGAAAGGTGATTTCTACATTTTATATTCATTTCCCATGAGTCAATACTTTTTTAGAAATACTTCCAGATATAGGATTTTTAGGGTATATCTTTATCATTTTTTTAGTTTAAGAATTAATTTGTTTCACATTCAGCTAAAGCTCAGTCACATTGGTGTTGTATAGAAAAACTTTATTTCAGTTTTTATTCTGAATGTTGGAAAACCATCTTTTTAGTTGGCTTTTTAGTTAAAGGCTCAATGTTCTTTTAATGTTCAATTAAAATGGTGCTAAAGCGATGCTGCTAATCAAAACATTGAATGTACATTAGAATGACAATAAAGCCTTTTATTTAATTACTGCAAATCACAGATTCAACTGCAATAAAATGTAATTTAAAGTTTAGCAAACAAGCAAAAATTTAATAATTTAGTAGAATTCCTAAACTCAAAAAGCAATACTGCCAACTTTCCTTCCTTGTCTCAGCTGAATAAAGCATACCATGATAGCGCTACCATCATGTTTGAATGGGCGGCAGTTGCACTGCTGCTGTTATTTCACATATGTAGGTTTGCATTTATGCTCTTCAGTTCAATTCTAACCCCCTTTGAGCAAAACTACTTCCAAGCTGGTTGCACTAGATTTGATTTTGGCAAACACAAATAAAGTACGTTTGTAGCAGAGAAAACATAAAGAGTTTATGTTTAATTTTGTAAGGTGCAACACCAAAACTGACTCTCTTGTTTGGAGTTTTTTTCTGTAAAACATTCCCTCTCCTCCTCAGACTGGGATGAAGTTGTAATTGTTGAAGAAAACACATCCACCACCTTGGTCTGCTCCGGTGCCAGACTGAGAGGTGACGTATCCATTAACTGGATGGTAAAGTCGGTGGATGCGGATGAGTGGAAGCTGATTCTCTCTGCCAGTGAGAAGAGTAAGTTTTGCGGAGGAGCCTCGAAGGCATCCATCCGACTGACTGACGACAACTTTCAGAACACGGGGAATTTCTCACTGTTCGTATCACCCAAAGCGGAGGACGGAGGACTCTACTCATGCCTCATAAAGAAACAAAAGAAGAAAGTCAAACAAAGGATTTTCCTTTTAGAAGTTCTAACAGGTAAGAAACTGATAACTTATGCATGTGAGAAGCTGTTAACAGTAGAAACAGCATCATTTCCCACATGATGGGTCTTTTAATTTTAAAAGCACATACCAGTATTTTCCCCCTATTAAGACTCGTTAAGTCGCTGTTTATGAAAGAACTTACACACTTTAAGTCACATTTTAAGACACCCCTTTTTTAGTAGAATGAGAAATTGAATTTGTATACACTTTTCTCTCTGTTAAAGTTATTAACTTAGTTTATCACTATAATTATTTAGGCATAACTGACTATCATAGCTGATTATTAACTTTCTTTTAAATGCGAGAAAGCAAAAAATATTGGTCTACTTTTGATGCAATTACAATTGCAGGTTCATGGGGTGAAAAGGATCTATACTTAGACACTTTTTGCCTGTTTTAATTGGGAAATTGTTTCACTTTTGGTATCTAGAAGGGAAATAAAAAAAATGCCATAACATAACTTTTTTTCAATGAGTTGTTGTAGATGTTGATGGCTGTGGGCAGCAAGGATCTTCTGTAGCGGTCTGTCTTACACAGGAATTGGAGAATCCTCTGACTGAGAGCACTGTTGTTGTTTAACAGTCTTCTGAATGAGATGGTAACAGGTGTCCTTTATGTTTTTTGTTTTTGTAAAAGTATCTCCATAGGTTCCACTAGAGTTCCCAAAACAGAGGGAGCCTTGTTTATTATATTATATAAAGTTTATCAAAAACATTCTCTGATGATTTTACCTCAGAAAGGGAGATCACGTTCTCCACAATAGTTATAGCAGATATGCAGCACCTTTTTACAAACAATGAAGGACCTACGGTTCCTTAAGAAGTACAGTCTGCTCTGTCCCTTCTTGTAGACAGCTTCACAGTTGTGTCTCCAATTGAGTTTGTTGTCCAGGTGAAAACCAAAGTATTTATACTCATCTACCGTCTCCACTTTCTCTCCCGTGATGTTAATAGAATTCATCTTGTTCAAATTTCTTCTGCTATCTGCAATCATCTCCCTCGTTATGTTACTATACAGCAGGAATGTCAAAGTCAAATTCACAGAGGGCCAAAAAAACATATGTGCTACAAGCCGAGGGCCGGACTGGTTAACTGTTTATTAAAACATATTGAAATGAACATAGCCTATTACACCAAGGAAAGTGTATGCATTATAAACAGTAAATGCATTACTGTGCTGCTCTATGATCCTACCGATCACTGCTTTTAAATAGTAACATAAGAAAAAGAAAAAAAAAGTTGTATTCTCTCTCATGGCTCTTATCTGCATTCAACTGCATTCAACTGAAAACGATGAATAAATAAAATAAAATACAAAAATCTATGGTACACAGACAAAACAATACTTCCTCCAAAGAAAAATCACATCTTCTACAAAGAGATGTAAAAAAAAAAAAAAAAAAAAAAAATTGTGATGAATCACAGCAGCAGATCCAGAATTCAGCCAGAGGTTCTTTAAAAAGGAATTTATTAAACAAAAAGCAGAGAAATACTAAAAAGGACAGCAGAATAAAAAAGAATACAGGTGTCAGCAGAGGCTGATTGAAGTCAAAATAAAAGGAGCCTGAATGTACTGTATTGAGAGGGGAGCTGATCCTGCAGGTGATAGAGACAGACATGCTCCCGAGCGAGGGGCAGGTGGAATCCGCACGCCAGGCACAGAATACCGGGATTGTTAAATTGTTAAAGGGGGAAAAGCAAAGACCAAAACAATCCAAACATGCAAATCACAACAAAAACATTAAAATAAAACAAAAACACAATCTTGTTTTCCCCTGGGAATGTAGTGTTGGTGCGTGCAACACAACTGCACCAACACTACATTCCCCACAATGCAACGATAGCCCGCAAACTCACAGCAGCGTGCACAAGCAGCAGTTGCCTGTGGGCCGGTTCTAATGGTAATTAAATATCATCCAGAGGGCAATGGATAAACAAATTGCAGGCTGAATCCTATATGGCACACATGACTTTGAAATATGTGCCATACAGGATCAGGTAATGCTCAACATCACGCTACAAAGCGGTTCAGTATCTCTCTGTACTTAGCTCTTGTCCACTTCTTATGTGCCAGACCACTGCAGTTATCCGAGTATTTCTGCAAATTAACTCTGTTTTGTACAATAGTTAAGGCCGTACAGAGTAAAAAGGAATGGTGTGAATACCATCCTCTGTGGTACTCCTGTTCTGCTGACTATATAATTTGACAGTTTGATGTTTGTCTTACAAGCTGGGATTGGTTTGTCAGGTAGACTTTGGTCAAGACAATTGTTGTTGACCGTAGCTGAGTGCTGTCTGCCTTGTTTAAATGACAGTGTCACCATTTGGCTATGGTTAGTTGACCCAAAAGCAGAGGCTAGCAGGCAGAGGTGAATTTATGATAGATTTAATGAACAGTAACTGAAAAAACAAAAAAACACCCAGGAATCCAAAATTCAAAACATAAGAAAATAAGTAGAAAACAAACCAGAAAACCATGGAGACATCAGGGAATCAAAAACTCGAGGAGGAAGGCTCAGAGAAACGAAGTTGGACGGTGTATGATGAGGACCCAGCAAAGAGGAACTGAAGAGAAGAGGTTTTTAAACGAGACAAAGAGAGGGCTAATGAGGAAACTGGGAGCAGGTGTGCACAGAACAAAACAGGGAAAGAGCTAGGGAAGAAGGAGAACATAAGAGGGCAGCCGAGAGCAAAAAGAAACCTGGAAGACTGGAAATAACAACAAAATAATTATAATTAGGACTATAAAACATGGAGAAAAGAAAACTAAACACTCAAAAGAAAATATAACAGAACCCAGACTAGGACAGAAACTGGAAAAAACCAAAGAACACAGCAAAATAAAAATAAAACCACTAACACTAGAAAACAATGCGTAAAGCAAGACTGAACACTAAAAAGAAAAATATAACAGAACCAAAACTAAGACAGTATCTGAGAAAAGAATCAAAGAACTCGATAAACTAAGAATTAACCCACTAAAAATAGAAAACAAGGAGCAAAGTAAAACTGGATACTCAAAAGAAAAACAGAAACCTGACAGACAGTAGGTTTGTTGAAGCAGGTGTATGATTGCATCTTCAACTCCACGGTGATAATCAGCCTGCAGGGGCTCCTGATAGCTTCTTGTTCGTCCATCTGGACCTGGGTAACAGTCTATAGTCATTAAGGACTGTTGGCTGAGTTGTTTTTGGTACTGGAACAAGGCAGGAGGTCTTCCACATCACTGGAACAGTCTCCTGTGTCAGGCTAAGGTTGAAGAAGGCTAATTCAGCCAGTTTTAACAGCACAATTGTGAAGTTCTAAACCATTATCTTACAGCTCTGTGTTTAAGATTATTGTCCTGCTGGATGGAAAACTTAGAGTTTTGTTTATCCAGGATTACCTTGAACTTAGCTTATCCCGGCTTCCTATCAATACTATCCCAATTTCTATCTGCTGAAAAATAAACATCCCCAAAGCTTGATTCTTCTTCCATCATTCCACATAGGGCATGATGGGTTCAGGCTGTCATGCAAACAGTTTTAGTCTCATCTAACCAGAGTGCCTCTTTCCGCAAGTTTGCTGTCACTCTTAAATGTCTTTTGGTAAACTAGACTTCTAATAGCTTCCTTCCTGCCACTTTATCATGAAGGTCAGATTACTAGAGTGTACCAACTTCTGCATTAATGTTCCCTCCAGCTTATATCCGCAGAAGTAAAACTTTCTTACTTTGACAGTTTTAGCAGTTCTTTAAATAATTAACATTTAGTCAGTCTTATATCTACTATTTCTCCACTGTTTATAAGACAACATATTTTACATCTTAATTGTTTCCAAATGTTTTAAATAAACATTTCTGGCCTGTTTGCTGTGTTTAAACTGTTGGTCCTAATGATTCTTCTTGTTCACAAAAGTTCTCTAAAATCCTATGTGTGATTAAATTACACACAGAAGGACTATTGGTTTGTTCACTTGTAAGACCAATTGGTTGTATTCTGTTTTATTCAGGTGCAAATACGTCTGGAATCTGAATAAGCTGCACACCCCACTTTTCTAGATTTTTTTGTTGTTATAAAAAATACTCTCTCTACTTGAGCATTACTTGCTGTATAATTGTTTGTGCTTCACGCAGTCCGAACAAAATACTTTAAAGGTTATAACATGAAAATGTTACAAAAGCATAAAAAAAAGCAATGAACCCTGAGTTTTTTCTGGATATTTTGTACTATGGAGGGCAATTATAAGAAGGCTTAAATTTTTATTCATAGTTTTATTTCTAATTTTAATTCATTTTAATGTTTCACAAATTATTTTGTGATATTCCTTCCTTTTTAAGTCGCTGGTTCTAAATAATTTATGCTGAATTTCAGTGAGCTGCAACACATTTATGTATCGTTGCATCAATAATTTTCTCAGTTGAAATATTTGTTTTGGTCGTTGTGCTCATGTACTTCTTAATTAAGTGCACAACTATCACATGTATACAAGTCTTCCTGCACTTTAGATACTCTGACCTTGTAAATGTTCACAATTGTTCAACCAAAAAGTCTGTGCATCTCTGATGGAATAATTTTCATCACAAGAATAAATGTATTTTGTGATAGTTGTGCATCACAGACGAAAAATAGTTATATTCATCTTAACTTCACAAAATCTAACAAATATAAAATAAAAAAAAGAGATTTTTGATTATCTTTGTAGATCTTAATGTCTTTGGAGGATGAATATTTTAAACCCAATTTAGACTAATCTAAAAAAAATTCAAGGAGATTAAGGCCTTTTTTATCTGCTCTACTTTTGATGCGCTATGAAAAAATAAATACAAGAATTAAAAGTTAGTATATTTTGCATTTAATTTTTTTTTTCTGTTGCTGGTTTTGTGTGTTCATTCTGCAGTTGGCTTCTTCCCTGCTGTGCCTGTCCGTCAGTACAGCACCCTGCGGCTGTTCGCCCGAGTCAATCCTGACATTTCTGTCTCCAAAATTGCCTGGACGGCACCTGGCGGCCTTCCCATGAAGACAGAGAAGTGGTCGGACTCAGGCACAGTGACTAAAGTGCCGCAGGTCCAGATCAGTGATGCTGGGACTTACACCTGTACGGTCCACCTCTGGGGAAACTCCACTGGTGTTCTGGCTGCAAATGTGGATGTGGCAGTTGATGGTGAGAGAGAGAGAGAGCTGCAGGATGAAAATCGTACAACTGTATTTTTTTTTTATGAAAACAAGCTTCAAACCCAGAAAGTAGAGGAGCAGAAGCATTATCTTTTCAGGAATCCTGTTTCTTAAAGTATTTACTTCATAAAAGGGTTTTGAGATTCCGAAGCGTGTTTTTGATCTGCACTAGAATTCTTACTCTGAATAATATGCTGATGAAGGTTCTCAGTCATCCAGGTCATAGTCATTCCGTAAAAATTCAAAAAATATCCACTGGACTTGGTTTTCAAGATTTGAAGACGTTTCGCCACCTCTCCAGGAAGCTTTCTCAATTCAAATGTCTGGATCCGCAGTGAGTTTGAGTCTTATATAGACACGCCTTGTATCGCTTGGAAACATGCAATGGTAACCGATGAATGGGTCGTTAGTTCCATCGTTAGCCTGTAATATCTGAACCTGTCTATGATTCTAGGGGTCGGTCGTTAAAGGGGGGATTGCCATTAACGGGGGGGATTGTCTCCTGTAATACCTGAAACCTGTCTATGATTGTTAAGGGTTGGTCGTTAAGGAGGTATTGTTCACCGGCTGGGGCGGGTAGGTCCCTCGTTCCTCTGTGATGGGGTGGGGGGTTTGGTGATATCTGGAAGGGATCATGTCTATGATTGAATTGTATGTTTTTGGAAGCTGGAATCTGAGTCCACCACCTCTGTTTAAAGTTGGTTTCTGAATAATAGAGCTGCTATGTTTATATATTATTCATTATTTGTTCCTTTCCCTTTTTTATTGTTCTTCCTCTCTCTTTTTAGCGAACAGCGTGGCCTCATTCACCAATATTATACACAGTAAGTAACTCCAACAGAAGCACCTTGAAAGTCCTTTGTCAGCTACCTGCAGAGATGGGAAGTAACGAAGTACAAATACTTCGTTACTGTACTCAAGTAGATTTTTCTAAAATTTTTACTTTACTTTACTACTTATTTTTATGGTGACTTTTTACTTCTACTCCTTACATTTTTACACAAATATCTGTACTTTCTACTCCTTACATTTTTAAAAATTGGCTCGTTACTTTAGTTTTGAATCATTTCAATGGAGTTACCGTTATTATTTTTCACGTCATCAATACCAAATTCAATCTAATTGGATGGGAATCTACGTTTTATTTGACACACCACTACAAGATGAATCGACAGATTCGGCGGTATTCATTGGCGGCAAATCATTGCAGCTTGGTGGCGGTGGCGTTAGCATAGTAGCATGGACGACGAGATGATTGAAAATGAACACAACGGAGATCTAGTCCTATTGGCAGACATCCATTTAAAATGTAGGCAACGGCATGAAAAAAGTGGTTTCTACTTTTACTTTTATACTTTAAGTAAATTTACAAGCCTGTACTTTGTTACTTTTACTTGAGTAAAGAAGTTTAATCAGTACTTCCACTTTTACCAGAGTATTTTTTAACACAAGTATCTGTACTTTTACTCAAGTACAGAAAGTGAATACTTTTGCCATCTCTGGCTACCTGCTAATCAGGTGGGGCTGAAGGTCAGAGGTGATTCTCAGCTTATAAAAACTTAATCCTAATTGCTGTGGGTTTTTGCCTTCATTTCATTAATCTTTGGCAATTCTGTTTATTTCCTGTCTTAACCTCCTTGTTATCAACCTTTTGCTCAGAACCGCTAATCAGCCAGTCTTTGTGAACTATAATATTCTCCCCTCCGTTTCTTTCCCTTGCTTGCAGGCGAAATGATTTCTACTGCCACTCAGGCTAATAAATCCCTTCTGCTGACCTGCCCCAGCATCGAGGGCGACTTCGTCACGCTACATTGGCTTCGACCAGATGCAAAGAATCACAACATGATGAAGCTAGTGTACCAGTATGACCGTTGGAGGAGTTCCACCTCAAAGCAGAGCAACACACTCCAGCTAGCTGGTCCGCCCTATGACCCCAACGCTGGAAACTTCTCCTTCCTACTCACACCTGCATTAAAGGATGGAGGCCTCTACATCTGTGAAGTATACCTTAATGATGTGGTGTTCAGCCAGTGGACTAGACTTAGTGTTCTGAAAGGTAAGAGGGGTGAAGCAGTTGGAAAAACATAAGAATTGATGTTTACACCAAAACTGAAATATGGGGCTTACTATACCTGCTAAACACCTCACATTTAAAAATGATCCCTATGGTGAAACTGATTATTTTCACCATAGGGATGGTGGTTATTTAGGTCTGCTTGAAAGTTATATTTGCATTCTAAACCATCTAAAACAAGCATTGTTGGCTTTTAAGCCTGCATTTTGTATATGTCACATTTGTTGATAAGAAAAAGACCTAAGGGACAGAGGCAGAAATACAGGCAGCCAAAGTGGCAAATAATATATAGCAAAAAGAGAAAGTGAGAAATTATCTGAATTCAGCAAAGAAAAATGAGAGCCAGTGATCTCTTAGCCTGATAGAGGGGAAGGGAAATTACATTGGATGCAGGTGTGTTAATCAGTGGAGCGCTGACACTCAGGGAGGAAGACTAAAAGACATACAGGTGCTGGTCATAAAATTAGAATATCATGAAAAAGTAGATTGATTTCAGTAATTCCATTTAAAAAGTGAAACTTGTATATTATATTCATACATTACATACAAACTCATATATTTCAGATGTTTATTTTGTTTAATTTTGATGATTACAAATGACAACAAATGAAAATCTCAAATTCATCATATCAGAAAATTAGAATATTGTGAAAAGGTTCAAAATTGATGGCCCCTGGTGCCACACTCTAATCAGCTAATTAACTCAAACCACCTGCAAAAGCCTTTAAATGGTCTTTCAGTCTAGTTCTATAGGCTACACAATCATGGGGAAGACTGCTGACTTGACAGTTGTCCAAAAGACGACCATCGACACCTTGCACAAGGAGGGCAAGACACAAAAGGTCATCGCTAAAGAGGCTGGCTGTTCACAGAGCTCAGTGTCCAAGCACATTAATAGAGAGGCGAAGGGAAGGAAAAGATGTGGTCGAAAAAAGTGTACAAGCAAGAGAGATAACCGCACCCTGGAGAGGATTGTGAAACAAAACCCATTCAAAAATGTGGGGGAGATTCACAAAGAGTGGACTGCAGCTGGAGTGAGTGCTTCAAGAACCACCACACACAGACGTATGAAAGACATGGGTTTCTGCTGTCGCATTCCTTGTGTCAAGCCACTCTTGAACCACAGACAGCGTCAGAAGCGTCTTGCCTGGGCTAAAGAGAAACAGGACTGGACTGCTGGTGAGTGGTCCAAAGTCATGTTCTCTGATGAAAGTAAATTTTGCATTTCCTTTGGAAATCAAGGTCCCAGAGTCTGGAGGAAAAGAAGAGAGGCACTTCATCCACGTTGCTTGAAGTCCAGTGTAAAGTTTCCACAGTCAGTGATGGTTTGGGGTGCCATGTCATCTGCTGGTGTTGGTCCATTGTGTTTTCTGAGGTCCAGGGTCAACGCAGCCACATACCAGGAAGTTTTAGAGCACTTCATGCTTCCTGCAGCTGACCAACTTTTTGGAGATGCAGATTTCATTTTCCAACAGGACTTGGCACCTGCACACAGTGCCAAAGCTACCAGTACCTGGTTGAAGGACCATGGTATCCCTGTTCTTAATTGGCCAGCAAACTCTCCTGACCTTAACCCCATAGAAAATCTATGGGGTATTGTGAAGAAGAAGGTGCAATACACCAGACCCAACAATTCAGAAGAGCTAAAAGCCACTATTAGAGCAACCTGGGCTATCATAACACCTGAGCAGTGCCACAGACTGATCGACTCCATGCCACGCCGCATTGCTGCAGTAATACAGGCCAAAGGAGGCCCAACTAAATACTGAGTGCTGTACATGCTCATACTTTTCATGTTCATACTTTTCAGTTGGCCAACATTTCTATAAATCCTTTGTTTTTATTGGTCTTCAGTAATATTCTAATTTTCTGATATGATGAATTTGAGATTTTCATTTGTTGTCATTTGTAATCATCAAAATTAAACAAAATAAACATCTGAAACATATGAGTTTGTATGTAATGTATGAATATAATATACAAGTTTCACTTTTTAAATGGAATTACTGAAATCAATCTACTTTTTCATGATATTCTAATTTTATGACCAGCACCTGTAGATGGAGCTGAACTAAGACACAGACATAACATCAAGGGAAAAGTCTAAAAGAATAAACTATGAAAATAAATACAAAGAAATGAACAGAACGGCCACAGGTTAGAAAACACGAACAGCAGGAAAATTATTAAAACATAACTGCAACCGAAAACCAAACACTTAAAAATAATATAAGAGATTTGACATATGAGACACAAGATCATATTTTTTGGGACACATTTAGAAGAAAATGTTTAGAATAAGCATCCAAACATTTTCAATACTACTGTAAAAAAAAAAATGTATAAAATCCTTTTATTCATTTGTGAATTTACTCAGTCCCCTCAAATCACGACATCTAAAAACAAATATACATAATCCATCCCTGTTAAAATGACTAACCAGCATAACCTGCTCCCGTCTGTATTATAAAAAGCAACCAAATGCATCCAACTATCCCTCTTTAATCAATTTTTCAGGAGGTTTCATAAACTGAAAAATATGAATCACTTAGTTGTTGAAGTTTGGTTATTGCTCTCAACATTTTTTCTACTTACATCATTGTTTAAATAATTAACTTCTGAAGGGAAATTGTGGCAGGGATAGAAAAACATCCCCGCTGTAATGTAATTTTTGCTCTATGATTCAATTTTACTCATGGGGCACTGTCATCAGTTTGTATCTATGATTAAAAAAAAAAAAACCCTGTCAACTTTTTGGAGAATACTTTGAGTCTAACGTGTAATAATGTCTACAATAAAAAAAATCACATTTAAAAGAAGCTGAATAGATTGGACTGGATACACTGCTGCCGAATTTTCTAAGATCTGACTAATAAAAGATATTATCTGTAACAAAGATTTGGTCCTGTATATAAACAGCATGTGTTTTCCCAAACTCCTATATATTTCTATGCAAAAAAAAACTGCCGAACAATGCATATTGTTTATTCCCTCTAATATGTTTAAAACTACAGTACAATTTTACAATTTGTACTTTATATCTTAACTTTGATTTATTCAATTAATATTCCGGCAAAAAGGGGTTGAACACCCTTGTCAAAAAACTACAGTTTAAATAAGCTTTTAAAGCATATGCTTATACTATTTTATATTATTAAATCATGGTTTTAACAATCACTTATATTAAAATCCAAACCCACGAGTTGATCTGTGGTCACTGTTATTATATTATTCTTTTCTCTTCTAATAAAAATCCCAATCTTTGTTATTTTCATAAACTATTAATGGTTTTTTGCTATCAAAACACTTTGTTAGGGTTAATCTCATAAACCATGCCATATGTCAGAACATAACTATTTACTCCATCTGCAAGCAAACATAATATAAGTGTTCAGTAAATGTTACTTTTTTGAAGGAAACCTTGCTCTAAAAGTCAAATGATAAATGCTGCTGCTCAAACTCTCCTAAATGGAATAGTGCATCTTTGAAGCTTGTCATTCAGGACTCCTCTCCCCAGTAAGTTTAGAAAAAACTCTGCTATACAATAACCTTTTTTTTTCTATTCTCACTTTTTTTTTTTTTTTTTTTGGTCTTTGTAAACCAAAAAGTGAGTGATACATATAAACAAATAAAAACATTAGTTTTGGAAACTCTTTGCCACAGAGAAAACAAAATTATGAAGTAATGGTATCATGTCAGCTTGAGGATGGTTGATAAACTCAAGCTTATGAAGCATAAAGAAAGAACTTCTGTCAGTTGCCACATCATTAGTCGCAGAAACACTGAACTCTTTTGCTGTTTCTACATAAATGTAAAGCAGAAGGCTTTGCAATTGTTGTGGAGATGCTTACAGAAAAAGAAGAGACTGGGACCACAGTGAGATTCCATCAAGGATCTGCTGTCTCTTAAAGCTCTTTCTCATCTCATTGTTCCATTAAAAATGTGACTGGCAAGCCATAAATTATGAGGAAAGTCTTTGTCAGCAGTTGGAGGAACAATAGAAGACTGGTGGCAGGAATCTCTTGGGATGTAGTTTGAATTTTATTTAGATTAATCTTTTAAATGGTAAAGCACCTCGGCTCCTTAAGCTGGCCTCCTACAACCAAGGATGCTTGCTAATCACACAGTGAATATAAATGTATAGAAATGTGTTAACAACTGTGCTCAGCATTGTTTTGTCTGAGTTAACCTCTGTTTAGTCTTTAGTCACAAATCTAACTTAAAGGACTCCAAAAACAAGGGTTGGATGCGGAGACTTTAATAATGTAGGTACCTCCTCCACCAACATCCTCAATTTCATTCTTAGGCATCCAAAGGGAGCAATCCTTGGCCTAACGGGGTATATACTCTCCCAAGAGAGTTCTGGGTCTTCAAGAGGGTCTCCTCAGTCAGAACTCCCACAAAAACCTCCAGAGGGTGGCATACAGTGGTCCATCTGGAATTTAAACCATCTTATCTTCTTTTTATGCAGAAAAGCAGCAGCTCTACTTTGTTCTCCCCTATTTGTTCAAGCTCCCCACCCTGCCTGTAGGAGTCAGCCCTCCTACTGTATAGAGGAAACTCATTTCGACAGCTTGTATTATGGATTATCAATCCTCGGATTATGATCCATATAGCATCCATCGAGAATGCCAGAACTGGTGTTTAAATGATGATTTCATTCCTATCATCAACCATCATAAGAGCTGGACAAGAGCAAAAAACAATAGTCCGAGCCATTGTTATGGTCCATTGTCATGCATAGCTTATTAAATTAGTATAGTTCATTTCAATTGCAAAGGAGATCACATATTTTACCAATAAGTATTTCAATTTACTCAAAATACTTTAATACTAGTTACTAACCATGTTCCCTTATTAACTGAAGCTAAAATTGATTTCATTTCTATTCTTTTTTCTTTTTGTCTTGCTGCTGCACCTAGCAGTTACAACAAGCAAAGTTAACTGTACTCACCTGGCCTTTACAAACTACCATGGGTGGGATGCAGACATACAGTAGCAATAAATTGAGGGCTGTTCTTTTTCTGTCTTTTTCCTACTCTATCCTGCCATCACAAGAAACAAAAATATAAATGCAAAGTCCCCCACTAGAGACAGGGACCCGACCCGCACCAAGGGTAGGGTTTCTTGATCAGCACAAGCAGTTTGTGTTGTTCTTACTACTGTATCTATCTGTTTTTGGGGGGTTGAGTTCCCCTCCCGATCCATGACTGCATCCACTGTTGCTATGCAGTACCAATGACAGTGAAACAGACCCACAGCATTAAGCCTAACTTTGATTTCATTAAACATCCTTATGGCCAAAAAGCCTAATGTTTCTGCTCATCTAACCATATAACATGTGTTTCCAGTAGGCCATAAGTTTATCTATTTGTGCAGCTGCAATTTTTTAGTTGTGGTATACGTAGGACAAATCCTTTGTTTCAGTGCAGTATTTTCTCAGCTGCTGTTGCTCTAGCTGTCTAGCTGTTCAGATGAAATTGAAATGCTCGGAGGCAATCCTTCATTTTAATTTTTACACCTTTTGTACAGTAAAAAGTATAATTTGCAAGGAATTTATTGCACAGGACAATATAACCACCAGAAGTCTGACAACCTCACCTTGACCCTTCCAAATTTTCGTCTTTTTGTTGCTAAAATGTTCGATTTTCGGCTCCCTTATCAATAAATCTATTATTCAAAAGGCACTTTTTGCCCATTTGGGGGGAAAGCAAATTTTGTACAATTCCTCTAAGCTGCAAGTAAAATTTTCATCTTATGTGGCTTTGTGTAAACAAATATTTCAAAAACCTAAACTGTATACCTACCAAGACTATCACCCTGCACCTGTATTTATTTACTCTGTGACTTTATGCATAAACATGAAAGCCACAGGGTTTCAAAAATGTTCACCATGTTAATCTCAACTGATGCATTTGCAAAGCTTTTAGATGACAACCACTGATCTAACATGAGGCAGCGTTTAGAGAGACAACCCTCTAACCGGAGCACCTGTCTCATGAGGTATTTTAGCAATCATCGCCCCTGCTGAAGAGTCCTTGAGTGAGACATTACATTTTTACTGGTTTCAGGGCTTTATTCACTGACTCTGAGTGAGAATAACAAATGAAGAATACGTGTCCTGGGGCCATTTGAAGAATGTGGCATTATTAAATGAAAACATTAACTGTATTATTGTACCTGAAAGAGAAATATATTACATTTATAAATTTAAAATTCAGCTAATCACCTGTTGATTATTATGAGCATGCCTCAGGGAGTTCTCCCCCTATATTTGCTGGAGCACTCACACACACCCGCAGATACAAAAACTCAACATGCTCTGGTACACTTACAACAGCCTGTCAGGCTGGCCTTGGAAGGCTTTACTAATCACAGCTCCACCGGCATCCATCACAGCTGCCCAGACATGACCGTTCGATCCGTCACTGTCATTGTCACGTTGCTTCACAAATCTGCATCCGTTGCACACATACACTCCTCTACCCACTCCCCAATCATGTGAGGCATATATTTTTACCCCTCCGTCGTTAGAAGTATCATTATGTGTGATTATACCTGCTGCCCTCCCATCGAGGCTGTGGGTGGCCCACGCTGATCACACTTATCAAGGCTGAAGTGTGTGTTTTTAGGCATGTGTGTGTGTTAGGTGGGGATCTGCAGGGCTTGATTACGCCCAGATGGATTCTTATTACAGTTTGATGAGACACCCAGCATCAGTCACAGTCAACCAATGCATTAGCAGTAAATCACTTTAATGAATATATATTATTTTGACCCTTCCTCAGATTGTTCTGTATTTTTCATATCACAGTCCCCTTCCCTCATTACTCTTTTTCCCTTCTTGCCCTTTTAAATATTCACACACAAACATTTCAACTCTTTCTCATTTCTCATCCGAGCTGATCGTTTTTTCTCACCAACGCATTCTTGTTTCTGGTTTCTCTTTCCTATGCCATCCTTTTTCTCCTACAGTCAAAATCTACAATTATCCGACAAACCAGGAGCTGCTGTGCCGGTACTCAGAGCGCTCAGAGGTTCAGAGTGTTGTGTGGAAACATGAAGATAAGACTCGGCAGCTGCAGATGTCAAGCAACGGCCCTGGCAGCATCAGCACCATCCTGCCGCTGCCCATCAGCCCTGATGCAGCAGGGAATTACACCTGCATCCTGCAGTTGAAAAACGGCCAGAGCATATGGGCAGTTGAAACTGTCACAGTGCCCCCAACAGGTGAGATGTAATTTTGGGAAGATGGTTTATGTTCTGCTTTGTGATGTTTTGTTTTTCTTAGATCAAGGGTATTATTTCAGAATCACTGAGTCCTGGCGGACTTCCTGTCAGATCTGCAGAGATAATGAACCATGAGTGTAGAAAATACAAGGATGTGTGCTCCATGAAGCGATCTGCTGCGGATAAAAGAGTTCATCCGCCAGAAATCCTGCGGTTTGAAAACTAGAACGCCCTCTGACAGATACCATATGTCAAATTTTATATTTACTTCAGAGGGTCAAAGGACAAAATGTTTTTGAGCATAAGTTTTTTTTAAGAAATCCAGTAGAATTAAAGCCTCACACAAGAAATACATGCAGGAAAATATGAGATTTTATGCTTTTAACAAACCAAATTTGTTTTTGGAAACATTGTTTTTTTCATCTAATATCAAAAATCAGATAATAATGTGGAATCATTAAATGACATACTACCTATATTACTTTTTGTTTTAACTAAAGGATGGGGAAAAAATCTTTGAACACCCTGCTATTTTGCAAGTTCTCCCACTTAGAAACCATGGAGGGGTCTGAAATTGTCAATGTAGGTGCATGTCCACAGCGATAATCTAAAAATAATCTAAAAAAAAAAAATCTAAAAACAAAAACAGAAAACAATCCAGAAATCACAATGTATGATTTTTTTTAACTATTTATTTGTATCACAAAGCTGCATATAGGTATTTCAAGACCTGAGAAAATCAATGTTAATATTTGGTACGCCTTTGTTTGCAATTACAGAGGTCAAATGTTTCCTGTAGTTTTTTACCAGGCTTGCACACACTGTAGGAGGGGTTTTGGCCAACTCCTCCACACAGATCTTCTCTAGATCAGTCAGGTTTCTGGGCTATTGCTGAGAAACACAGAGTTTGAGCTCAATCCAGAGATTTTCTATTGGTTTTAGGTCTGGAAACTGGCTAGGCCATGCCAGAACCTTGATATGCTTCTTCAAGATCTATTCCTTGGTTATCCTGGCGGTGTGCTTCGGGTCACTGTCATGTTGGAAGACCCAGCATTGACCAATCTTCAATTCTCTAACTGAGGGAAGGAGGTCGTTCCTCAAAATCTCGCAATACATGGCCCCAGTCATCCTCTCCTTAATACAGTGCAGTCGCCCTGTCCCATATGCAGAAAAACAACCCCAAAGCATGACACTACCACCTCCATGATTTACAGTAGGGATGGTGTTCTTAGGATGGCACTCATCATTCTTCTTCCTCCAAACACGGTTAGTGGAATTATCAAGGAATGAAATCAGGCCTGGCTCTGGCTTGTAAAACTGAATCAAAACCTTGGATGGTATTTGGTACAGTAGCCTTTGACAACCTGACCCTATTTTCACAGGGTCAGCTTGGTTTGGATAACAGTAAAAAAAAAAAGGCAAAAACCATAATTTTAAAACTGCATTTACAATTCAATCTTTGTCTGGTAATAAAATTTTAATGATTTGAAGCAAAAGAAGAACAAACTTGTAAGGGGGCAAAGCACTTTTATTAACTTGATGCAGCAGCTTTGTGTAAAAAGAACTGATCTTTTTTTAAAGCGGTAGGAATCTCAGATAAGCTCAAACCAAAATGAATATGCCTGGCACTGCAAGGTTAGGTAATTTTGTGTGCAGATTCCTCTTCTATAAAACATAAAATATATAAAAGATTTCTTTCTCTTTCTTTCATCGCCCTTACCTATCTAATATGTGACTATAATAAGATAGGACCTTGGGACATCTATTCTCACAAAAACTAAATTATTCAGGCTTATTGTATTGTTGGCTGTGGGGTAGCACAGGAGGATGTGACAGTTAAATGGATCCCTTCAGCGGAGACTAGTTACCTCACTGCAATCCACTACATCACTTTGGCTAAAAGACCCGGAGCTGATTATGATGCCCTGATGCCCATCAAGGGTAAGTTTATACCAGGACATTATAATATATATATATAAATAATTTTGACTGAGCAGCATAGAAAGTTCAAATAAACTGAGCGCTGTTTGGCCTACATAACACTGTTTAAAGTGTCAGGTTGCACAAATACTGCAAATGTGCAAGGTTACAAAAAAATCCGTGGGTAATAATGAATAATGTAACCATAAGAGGTGACATCTAAAGATATATAAATAGCACTTTTAGGAAGAAAGGATGAACATTTTATCACAGCGTTTCTTATTTGCCCTGAAGAAAAGCAAAGTCTAAGGTGTTTTAAAAAGTATTCATATCCCATTCAACTGTTTTTCACGTTTTTTCACCATTACTGCTCTACCACAAACTTTGATATATTTTGGGATTTCAATGTAGTCATAGATTATGTAGGGTCAGTATCAACGATAGTTGACCATGTTGTGTGCTTTCATTAATCTCCTCCCCTTAGTTCAACACACTCCTACAGCTGGTTCACTAAAGCTGTAGTAGCTTTAGTGTCTAAGCTACTTTTTTTTCATCGATTCCTTGTTTGATTCTCCCATTTCCCTCCTGTTGGTTCCTGTATATTCTTGTTTATTGTTATTAAAACACAGAACATCACCTCCGTCATCTGTTTCTGCATTTGGGTCCTCTTTTTTACCACATATTATGAGAGAAGGCGCATGACGTTAGGTGGAAAAATTGCTGGACTTTGATCGGACCATTTTTAACACATAAGCATCCACTGTAACCTGGCTATCATGAAACGGGACAGATGGGCCCACTATTCAAGGTTAGACAGGCAGTGGGAAAGTTCAAAATGTTTATTACAATAAAGATAACAGAACAGACATGGGGAGCTGTGGAACTGCAGATTGTAGCGGCTGAAGGGGGTGGGGAACAACCCATCACTGGCACGCTGGATGTGGGAAAATCTGAAGGAAGATGATTATCCATGTGAGTCACTTACCTGGTTCAACAGTTCAGGGCCTCCTCTCCGAACGCAGGATCCAGCCAATGGACTGCCAAACAAGCTATAGCACACAGCCACCCAGAGAGTGCCCCCCACCGCAGCAACCTTTGCAAGCGGACAGGAATCCAATTCAGGTTAGGGAAACAGATCAGACAGGAACAGTTCTTGAATCCAGGAGTCCCCAGCCCTGTCAGGGGTTGACAGGAACAGACAGATCCATCAGAAAGAAAAGTTTCTTGCGTTTAGCAACAAGCTCAGATAGAAACCCACAGATGCAGACAGGCAGGCTCAGAGGTTGTGGGACAGAGACAAGACATGGTATTAGGAATAATTGCAGGAACTTTAAACTGGTCTCTAACTAGGAGCCAGGCTTATGGGATTTAAAACCGACTGTCCCCGCATTCCGAGCCAAAACCCTGAGGGTTCCGTGCACAACAGCCGGGAAACGATCAGAAGACAAGAGACAAACTCAAAACCCTCTCAATCCACTGGCCTCCATGGACAGCAACATGAACCAGGGACTTAACTAAAACTAATGAGACAAACAAACAGGAATCAAGCAATGATCTGGCCCCAATAGCTGGGCTGAGCCGAATATAAATCGACAGATTGAGGTAAATAAGGCCCCGTCCACACGAAGACGAACCCTGGCCTAAACGCACAAATTTTTCACCAAACCAGCCTCTCATCCACACGAAGCCGGCGTTTCGGGGGTCTGTAAACGATCATTTTTTTATTCAGCCTATAGAGTGGGAAGATTCTGAAACGCCGTTTTCGCGTTTCCATCTTTACGCCCTAACCGCATATTTTTTTTTACACGCATGCGTCATAGCGTCGACTCTACACACGCATGCGCGACCAGTATCACAACAACAATGGCGCCGTTGCTAATGCTACTCACCCTGCTGTCGGGCTTACAACAGAATCTTCTTCTTCTGGAATATCTCCAGGAAGAACAGAGCAATATCGACGACATAGTTCAGCACCTGAATTTCACTTAACCACGAAAATGGACCCGCAGGGCAACCATGTATAAATATTAGTGCACATGCCCAACATTTCGTCGCTTATTTTTGCTTTGGCACCACAGCGCCACTTACAGGCCTGGCATACATTTTGCAGCGTTTTCATGCATTCGTGTGGACGCTCACATTTATTTTACGTCTCCGTCTTTACGGCAAACGTTTTGGAAAATATCAGCGTTTCGTGTTCGTTTTGACTTCGTGTGGACGGGGCCTAAGATAGGCGCTGCTTAGGAACCGGGCAGGGTTAGACAGGTGAATGAAGTAAATAATTAAGGTAAGCTATCAGGGCATATCATGACACTGGATGTATGTTTAGGTTGTTATTGTGCAGGAATGTGAACTTCCTCCCCAGTCTCAAGTCTCTCAGGGCTCTGACAGGTTTTTACCTAGTCTTTGTCTTTAGTTTGAAAAAAAAAAAAATCCAATGAACTCTGACCCAGCTAAAGAAAAGTAATTTTATAGCATGATTGTGCTACCAAATTCTATTCCATGTCCGTTTAAGTGAAAGATTATTATTTTGTTCTCATCTGAGAGTTTTACCTTCCTTTACACTGCAGAAACTATTGAAAAACAAGTAGAAATTTCTTAAAATAAGTGTATTTACCCTTAACTTGAGTAGATAAATAAGATAATCCGCCACTGGAATGAGCATTTTTAACCTTCAAATAAGATATTTAGATGTTATGCACTTTTGTTTTTTCTTATTTGATATGTAAATTGTCTTATTCCATTGGAAAGGTGTTTCACTTACCTGCTTAATTCAAGAAAAAATTTGTTCATTTCAGGAAAAATTGATTTCATTTTTATGCACTCTGACTGTCTGATTTCTCCTATTTAGAGCTTAACTCAAACCTCAAGCAATACTTGTTGTGTGTTTTTCAGCAATGTTTTTCAACACTCTCCAAAAAGATCATTCATTGTGCTGCCAGCAAATTCTCCTACCAAAGCTTTAAATCTCCCCTTTTTTTGCTTCTCTACATCTATATCTTTCACCTGTTTGTGTTGCTGTGTTTAGTAGAGGCTGTGTGTTCCTTAACAAACCTCTCAGGCCTTCACAGAAGAACTGCGTTTGTACTGTGCTTAAATTGCATGGCATCCTTTTGGTTTTTAGGTGAGATCTGAAGACAATCACTAGCCCCAGATTTTATTTAGAGGTATCGGAAGAAAGGAGGCACATTATAGAAGTTGTGGAAAATCTCTTCCACTTCAGTGCATCTGTTTGCATAAACTTTGTTGGTCGTAGGATAACCTTCCAAAATACAATGTATAAGAAAAGTGGAAAAGCTCAAAGGGGTATGTGTTGCTTACTTCAGCATGACACCCTAGTGTGTATTCATTTGTTTCCGGATATCTAAAACACAGATAAAATAGAGTGGTTATTCAAAATGTGAAAAAAGAAAAACACAACACAATATAATAACGAATTTCTTTTGCAGATGGCATAGTACAAAGAAAACCAAATTGAAGCAATCAAATTGCTCAGCAGCACACAAAATACTTTCAGTGTGAGGGATTTTCTTCCATATCTTCAATTTACTCATCCTTTGGGAAGCATTCAAGCATTACTTTGGTCTGCATCCTTTGCGCCACTCCACACTACAATTACTGTGATATAAATCACCCCCCCAACACCACCACCTCATTTGAGATGAAACAGCAGAGAACGGGAGTAAGTGCCGATTGTGGAGACAGAAGGATAGAAAGAGGAGCCGCTGCAGAGACCTGTGAAATTTACCGATCTAGGCCTCACTTCACTGCACTCCATTAACATAATGCATGCATTAAAGCTAGCCTGGGAGGCTGTGCGTGGCAGTCCTGGGGTCAGCTATAGCACTACAGTATTCCATTAGCATCCCCTGCATTTATTCTTCAATCAATTACTCCTCACACAGCACATAATTGATGGATCATTCTGAAACCGGTTAAAACCGTGACACAGAGGTCAGGGTGAGACTCAAGGGTCAGTTATTTTTTTCAAATAGAAATCATTTAAAGATAAAAAAAGGACTGAATTTTACTTACAATGCTTAAATAAGCAATCAAACCCCTGAAATGTTTTATCCTATTAGGATTTAGTTATTTATTAAGAAATACACAAACCTCATATGTTAGAGAAAATGATTGGCGAAAAAGAAAGAAAAACATAACACTTATGCCTTAATCTTTAAATTGAGTTTTACAAAAAGAAAAGCCCCAATAACTACAGTATGAAGGGGTGGACTGGTTAAAAGTATTTCTATCTACACAATGAGATGGAAATTTAGGGGTTTGGGACTACGCAGCTCTGTGACCCTAATAAAACCCCTGATCAGTGAGGCTATTCAGTCGAAAAGGTTTCACTTTGCTACAGAGCATAAAGACTTTGCTCTGGAGCAATCCATACGATCTAGATTTATCCTCTTCCAGAGGTACAGTCCTCTGGGGGCAGAGCTATGATCTGAGTTGACACAGCTGGTCAAGTGTAGGTCTTTTAAGGTCATGTGCCCAAAGAATGACTTCAACTGCTTACCTGAATGTAGGCAAGGACCAAGAATTTATTCTTCGGTGATGGTGTGGGCATGCTTCGACATGACAGCTTCAGGCTCAAGTTGTGCAGAAGTGGTTCAAGGAAATGAGACATCATTTTCACACATGGATTAGCCAGCAAAAAACCCAGACCTTCACCCCACTGAGAATAATTAGGATGTGTTAGAAAATGTTTTCCACAGCCTACAAGATTTGGGCAAAAATTTAATGCAGCTCTAGATAACTAATGTTGCAAAAGGTAATTTAAGTTTTACCAGGTTGAATGAAGGCCTTAGTCAAACCAGAAGAAATTCCAACATGTTATACCATGTGATTTTCCCTATTTCTTTTCATTTAACATAAAAAAAATACATGTTTTTCAACATTTTTTAAAGTACAAATCTCAAATGTGGTCTGTATGAGTATTCAGCCCCATTTACTCCTTTACAAATAAGTATGGGTGGCAGCCTCATCCTGCAGGTGTGATTTTCTACCTGTAAGAAGCCCTTCTAGAGTTACGCTGGGTAGAATGGCCTCCTTCCAGAAGGATGATGACAAAAAAACATATGGCCAGGGCCAAAAACTGTTGGTTTAGATCAAGGCCCAGTAAAAGAATATATTAATGTAAATCTAATATAAAAACTGAACTTAGGCTATTTTCTAAATAAAAATTCTGTTTTTAGAGCTGTAACGCTAATAGAAACAGAACCCACCACCACTACCAGCAAAAAACCCTACTGCTCTAGATTAAATGCCTTTCCTTCTTCTTCACAATTACTGTGTAGTTTTTGTTCCATCATCAACCCCCCCAAAAATACATTAAACTGGGTGATTGCAGTGGGGGAAAAAAAAGTTCAAAGCTTGTGGAAACTTTTTAAGCCTTTATAACTGGCGTATTAATAAAAGCCTCAGCTTGTTTGACATTTATTACGAATCTTTTCAGGATGCCTGGCAGATATCTAATTGGTTTGTACTCCATGAATGTGGAGAAGACAGCTGAGGAATAACCCAGCTTCCCTGTGGCTCTGTTTTGCAACACTGATGTAATCCTCAGTATGCAAACAAGGACTTCACAAAGCTGCACTCTTCCCATGAAATTTGAATAGCACAACAGTAAGATAATAATGTGCTTATGTAATGTGTGTGTTGATCACTTTTTAGCTCACCTGTTTATAAAGCTGTATTGATGTGCCTGGCTGTTTGTTATGTTTATATTTTTGCCTCCAGGCAGTAGCTCAATGGGAGGAAAAAGGAAGAAATGAGAGAATATCTAGATTCTATCCTGTTTGTTTTGGGAATAGGGTATGGAATAATTATGCAGTTGTAAACTCCACTCTGTACGGAAGTGGTGTAAGCATCAGTTGACACCTGGTCTCCAAGATGCCATTTTAAATTGTCAGGTTTTGCAGTCCAAACTGGAGGTATATCTGATCGATATCTGCAAAGGAATTCCAGAGGCTACCCTCTGTGCCTAAGAACGTCTCAGATTTTCTCATCATCTTCCACAACAATCATTGCCTGTGACTGACAGCAGCATGATGCAAATGCATGAAACATGTTCGCGGGAAAACCGCAACTGCAAGGTCCTTTCATAACAAAATGAATATTAAAAAAAATAAGGTTGCTCCATCTTGACCCAAACAGCAAAACACAGATAAGTTCTGGGCCATCCACTCACCCTTGTGTGTTTAACATTAGCATCGCTCTGAGACATTCATGTTTTTGTCCTTTTGCTTCTTTTTACACCCCACCCCTGTTGCAGAGCGTGTCACCATCACTACCTCCTCTCCGCACCCTTCTCTCTCTGCTTTATTACTCCTGGTCCCCCTGGTTGCAGCAGCTGTTGGCGTGTTGCTATGGAGACAGAGACACATTTCTGATCGTGGTGAGTCTTCCAGCGATTTATTTCTTGACAGCTTCTCCGTTGTTCCGTCCATCTCCAGGCCCCCCTGTCGGCCCCACGTCTGAGTGATGTGGGCCATGACATCCTCTGGGCTTGTTGTAATGAATGTGCCCCCACTTCATGAGAGTGCGTCCTGTCGCTTCTCTCTGCACTCAGGTATTGAGCAGTCACTGTCTGTCCAGTCTGGTGAAGCGGAGAACATCTATGAGAATCCAGAGGATATAAGACAGGTGATGAATTCAGGCATTTTCAAGAACAAAATCCCCTCTGATGAATTTCACTCCTTATATGCTTTCTTCTATTCTTCTCCCACTAGTGTTTACCTCTCTACTCTCTCCCTTTTGTCTCTCAGGTTCACTTTCTTCTCTCTGAAGTGTACTTCTTATACTTTGCTTTCATCCTCCTTTTCCATTTTCTCTCCTTTCTTGTTACTGGTTGTTCATTAACACTATTTTTGTTCTCTTATCCTCCCAAACAGGCTCCTCCCCAGGGTTCAGTCTACATGGTAAGTTATTTAGTCGTCTCCAGCACAGAATAAAATGGCTCATTAAGGACATCTCCGTTAATTAAGATATCATTCAAAATGGAAATTTTTTCTAAGATTTCGTTCAGAAATTATTAAAAATATGTTTCACATACTAATAATAGTAATACAAATTCTCTTTATATACAATTTTTAATAACAAATGAACTTTTTCACAAATATAAAAACATTTATTTCATGTAATTACACCATTTTTAATTGTATTTCAACTATAAAACAATATTCTAAGTGCACAATCTATGGCCTTAAATTATTTAGGTTTTTAATCTTCTACTTAAGCTGATTTGAAAATCCTAAATGATGTCAGCTTCACATGGGTTGTTTTTGTGTCAAGTGAAGAGAAAATAATAATGTCATTTTTACAGACTTGAGCATTTCTCTTGACTATACAATAAAATGTCATGCCATGGATGGATTGGGGTTTACATTTTGTGAAATAATGCTTAATAAACCCAGTATTGCTGCCCCCTTATTGGGACCAGTTGAGAGGTCCCCAAAATGTAATTATTTAACATAAATTGGCCTAAAGCTTTACCAAAGACGTACAGTACAGACCAAACGTTTGGACACACCTTCTCATTCAAAGAGTTTTCTTTATTTTCATGACTATGAAAATTGTACACTGTAAAAAAAAACGGCCTCATTTTACGGTAAAAAACTGGCAGCTGAGTTGCCAGAAGTTTACCGTCTTTATACGGTAAAATTCTGGCAACCAAAACTGCCAGTTTTTTACAGTATTTCTAAAATACGGTAAAATTCTGGCAACCAAAGCTGCCAGTTTTTTACCGTATTTCTAAAATACGGTAAAATTCTGGCAACCACAGCTGCCAGTTTTTTACCGTATTTGCTAAATGCAGGATTTTACCGTATTTTTAATATACGGTAAAATTCTGGCAACCACAGCTGCCAGTTTTTTACCGTATTTGCTAAATGCAGGATTTTACCGTATTTTTAATATACGGTAAAATTCTGGCAACCACAGCTGCCAGTTTTTTACCGTATTTGCTAAATGCAGGATTTTACCGTATTTTTAAAATACGGTAAAATTCTGGCAACCACAGCTGCCAGTTTTTTACCGTATTTGCTAAATGCAGGATTTTACCGTATTTTTAAAATACGGTAAAATTCTGGCAACCACAGCTGCCAGTTTTTTACCGTATTTGCTAAATGCAGGATTTTACCGTATTTTTAAAATACGGTAAAATTCTGGCAACCACAGCTGCCAGTTTTTTACCGTATTTGCTAAATGCAGGATTTTACCGTATTTTTAAAATACGGTAAAATTCTGGCAACCACAGCTGCCAGTTTTTTACCGTATTTGCTAAATGCAGGATTTTACCGTATTTTTAAAATACGGTAAAATTCTGGCAACCACAGCTGCCAGTTTTTTACCGTATTTGCTAAATGCAGGATTTTACCGTATTTTTAATATACGGTAAAATTCTGGCAACCACAGCTGCCAGTTTTTTACCGTATTTGCTAAATGCAGGATTTTACCGTATTTTTAAAATACGGTAAAATTCTGGCAACCACAGCTGCCAGTTTTTTACCGTATTTGCTAAATGCAGGATTTTACCGTATTTTTAAAATACGGTAAAATTCTGGCAACCACAGCTGCCAGTTTTTTACCGTATTTGCTAAATGCAGGATTTTACCGTATTTTTAAAATACGGTAAAATTCTGGCAACCACAGCTGCCAGTTTTTTACCGTATTTGCTAAATGCAGGATTTTACCGTATTTTTAATATACGGTAAAATTCTGGCAACCACAGCTGCCAGTTTATTACCGTATTTTTAAAATACGGTAAAATACCGTACTTCCTAAAACATTTAAAAAAAAATAAAATGTGGTTTTGCCGTAGTAAATACGGTCATGCTGACTGAGGCATAATATCTCCATGAGTGAAAAACACATCCAGACTGGATGATATATTGACATTTTATTGTAAACCCTCCCCCCCAAAAAAAACTTATGGTAAATTACTGGTCTCTGTTCCTACCAGAATTTTACCATACAAATTATAGTACAACACACAAGGAAGTGTGACTTGTCAAGCATTTCTATACAGAAAGTTATAAAGAAAATAATTTCTAATTAAACAAAAATACAGATTACGAGTAATCCACTTAAAGAAACAATTTCTATTTAAAAAGTCAAGTTAAAAAAAGAACTGATTCTATTTTCTGTCCAGTTTCCTCACGGTATTACTGAGATCTGGAAAACAGAAACAAAACAAACAGTATGTGTCCACATAAGAGATAACATATTGTAGAAGACAAAATGGTGATAAAAGGATTCTTGTTCTGGGTTGAGAGTCACAAGTCGCTGAGATCAGACGTTGCTCAGGATGGTTGTAGTCTTCCCAGTCACAGGTTGAAATTGAGACTCGCATGTTGTCAATCGGGTGTTTCCTCTCTGCTGGAAAACAAAAAGAAAAAGTTAGAAAGATGCACTACATGAACATCTTATTCGCTTAAATGTTTGTTTCACCTTTGTTGACTTGCATATGGACACAGGTACTTCAACCAGGTGGTGCGATCATTTCTGACTGAAAATTCAGTAGTTAAACCTTTGTTTGTTGTCAACAGGTGTGATCCTCTGGTCTGCAACCAGACAAAATACACAAACAAAAACAAATAAAAACAAATATAACTGTTTTAGGCAATTTATGAAATAGATACTCACCATTTATCTGAGTCTCATGAAGGCCAATAGGTTGTCTTCAACCATTTATGTAAGTTACATTTCCTGCAAGCTAGCAGAAACAAAGCTGTAAATGTGAACACTTTTCATACAGGCAAACAAATTGATACAGCTGAGACAATTTATGCTAGGATAGTTTTTCTCAGTCACTTTTGGTGCATTTCTCAAGTCATTGTTGGCATTTACAAAACAGTAAGCGCATTTCTCAAAACAATTTGTAGAAACAGGAAAAATAGCATTTGTTTGCTTTCAAAATCCTTAGTTCAGCTCTTAAAATTCTGTCTGTTAACATATCAGTGACTCAAAATAATAAGTTATAGTCTCTCTATGTACAGATAAGACAGTCAAATTGATTAGTCATGAGAAGAGACTACAAAAGGATCATTTACGCCAGTGTTTCTCAACCCTGCTCCTCACCACCCCCTGCTCTGCATGTTTTAGATGTGCCTCTACTCCAGAACAGCTGATTCAAATGATTGGATGACAATCAAGTACTGCAGAAGCTTGTTAATCATCCAGAGATACAATTCAGGTGTGTGGCAGAAGGGAAATACCTAAGCCTGCAGGACAGGGTGACGCTGAAGACCAGGATTGAGAAACACTGATTTACGCTTTTGCTATAATTTATTCATGGACCATGCCTTGGTGATTCAGAAAGAAAAAGACAGAAATGCAGAGAACAAAAAAAGTAGAAAAGGAGCCACAGGACAATCTCCTCAAGGAAAACTGTACAGTGCTGTAGAAATTACATTACATTTTAATTTCCATAGTCACTTTGTTCCTTAACTCCACTGAGGATCTTTTTTCCTCAGTGGGGTTAAGGAATGAACAGTAGGGTGGGAGGACCTCCATCAGCGTCATGTTGTGGGTCTCAGCCATGTCCTGATGTTGGACTGATGGAAACTGGCAGATGTCCTCAGCCTCTTCTGACTCTTCTTCTGCTTTCCTCCCAACTATTTCCTCCTCAGCCTCACTCCTCTTCTTCTCTCTGGCTGTTCACTCTGTCCAGATACTTGTTCATCAGTTCTCAGACATGTAACATTGTGTTGTGTTCTGACTATATAGAGCATAATGTTGCCAACTGATGGTTCACAAGATGCACCTCCAATCTGTTTCAGAAAACTGGTTGATCGTTGGTTGAGCTAATGGTTCATACACTGACCTGTTAGAGAAACTCAGGACTCACTTGGGAGCAATTTACCAATTCAGGACAGATTTAGAAAATAATAGAATATAAATTAATTAATATATGATTCACATTATGACAACTTTAAGACTTATGCATGTTAAGACTTACACAATGAACTGATGCTATTTTGGAAGTTGAGAATTCAACACAGACACGTTGTTGTCCTGTTGTCCTCATTTTCTGTATACACCCTTTATCCTCCGGGTCAAAATGACCCGTCTTCACTAAACCCCCAATATAAGCAGCTTAATTGAATTTTAAACACCAAATTCTATCTTGTATATTGTCACTCACCACAAAATGTGTGAATACTTGAGTTTTCCCTCTCCACTTGAATTTCTATAGCTTAAGAAAAAAAATGTGCAAAATGAGTTTCGAATGCATTTTTATTCATCACAGTGACTAATTTTCTTTTACTTTTCTCCAGTGAACAAGAGGATGTACAATACAAAAATATGAAAAATAACATAACCCATTCAACTAATTGGCACATGTAGGGCAGTATGCAAGTGCACAGTCTTTGCAGATATATTTCTTACACCTGCAGCACACAGTATGTGTTTTACAGTCTGAGGGCAGAACTGACATCTCTTCCTCTTACTTGGCTTAGCTGGGGAAGTGGCTGTGGTAGATGGATCCTCAGGTTGATCAGGAGCTGCTGCACTCTGAATAGCTTTCACAACTGCTGCTGAGGCTTCTGTGCGGGGGACATGCTTCCTTCTTTCAATGAGTGGAGTTACAAGTGCCTTTCCTAGCTGCTCCAGGAACACCCTCCTCTTGTTGTGCTTATGAGACATCCAGGTTGGGTTGATCTCTATCCAAATCACAAAGGCATTGTAGGAGGACACATCAATGATGTTGTGGAAGATGACCAGGGGCCAGCGGGCAGTCATTCTTCTGCAGCTATATGCTCCAATCACCTTATCTAGGTTGTCCACACCTCCTTTGTTTCGGTTGAATTCCAGGATAATGATTGGCTTCCTGTCCTCACGGTCACTAGTGTCGCCGTCTTTGTGCAGTGTGCTCAGAAGAACTACATTCTTGTTTTTCTTTGGGAGGTAGGAAACT